AGATCACGACCTGGGGGCTCATTATTCTGCCAGGAAGTGCCTGGCAAAACAGAAGCAGCGGATGTTGGCAGAGAGGAAGGCGGCTAAAGAGGCCGCCACTGCCTAAAGCAGCTCCTTGAGCACCTTCACAAGATGACTATTAAAATAAAGAGTAATTAAGAAACCTGTTTTTGGTGTCACCTTTAGTCCCCAACCTGGACCTGTTGACCTCACTGGTCCCATCTCCCTTTAAATCCAGCTACAACTAAGCTCGTAAGAGAAATACACAAAAGGCACTACTAACAAGCTTTAGTTCACTTTATTTTTCTTGTATAAAACTAGGTGGTGGCCACAGCTGGAGCCTGGGTCCTCTGCACAGAAACTCTGGTGTGGGTCTTCACAAGATGGTCAGTGAATTCCTAGAAAAAGAGACAAGGCTTTAGCTGTAGCCACACCTCAGCACCCTGTGCACCTGTCCAGGCTAAGGGGGTGGCTGGGCAGCCAGTACCTGATATGGAGACTTGGTGAACACCGTCTCCTTCCAGAGGTCAGGGGTGAGATAGCTGTAGGTCTTGGAGATGGCATCAAAAGTAGCCTTAGCTGGAAGAGAGAAAACAGAAGGTTGGCAGATACACAGGACACAACACCCCAGATACAAACAGAAGATGTTGCGCTCCTAGGGACAGAGAGGCCACTTGGGGCCAGTCTGCCGTGCCTTAGGAGGGCCTTCCTCTCTCTCTCAAAATACGCCACACACTGAGTATGATTAAGCTGAGCTATGAGGGCCACCTACCAAAGTTCCCCAGGGTGGCAGTGCAGCCTCTGGCCGAGGTGTAACAGTCATCAATACCGGCCATCATCAGTAGCTTCTTGGGCACAGGGGCTGAAACAATGCCAGTGCCTCTGGGGGCGGGGATGAGACGCACCAGCACAGAGCCACAGCGGCCAGTCACCTGCAAAACGTGGAGGAGTCAGGAGATGGCCTAGGGGGAATCGGCACCACCGCAGGCCCCATCACCGCCCCACCCCCCAAGCCTACCTTGCATGGGACAGTGTGGGGCTTGCCGATCTTGTTCCCCCAGTAGCCTCGCCTCACGGGGACGATGGAAAGCTTGGCCAGGATGATGGCCCCACGGATAGCAGTGGCAACCTCCTTGGAGCACTTGACACCCAGGCCGACGTGTCCATTGTAATCTCCGATGGCAACAAACGCCTGTGAGGAACCTGACATGGTTAGGAGTCCGCTGGCCGGCACGGCACCAGCAGCCACCAACAGCCACCAACTGGGCCTGTGGCGCCCCTCGAGGAAGGAGTGGCCACCGTGAGGCCACTCTGAGGTCCCGAGGAGATCCTTTCTCTCTCTCCCCGTTACGAAAGCCACGCGTGTAGTGACAAGCGTGACCATGCAGAGCTGAGAGAGTCTCACCCAGCCCCTTGGCAGGTGCAGCCCAGGAACACACGAGGTGACTAGGATACCTTGAACCTGGTCCGCTGGCCAGCACGGGTCTGCTTTTGCACAGGCATGATCTTCAGAACCTCGTCCTTGAGGGATGCTCCCAGGAAGAAATCAATGATCTCAGATTCCTATGGGATGAGAGATTGCAACGAAACCGTTCACTAGAAAGCTCAGGAACCATCTGTAACCATTCTCCCTAGATAACCTCCACCCTGATCCTAGAACTAGTTTTTCAACTGTCCACATTTTGTCTCCAAGTCGAATACCCTGAGTCAGAGATAGGGCACCTAGGCACTCACACCCTCCTCAGACGTGGAGCCTTGGCCGGGGTGGACAGATCCCATCCCTGGACCCAAGGCCAAATGAGCCTCCCGGGGACTCCACCTGCCAACGCCCTGTCCGGAGGTGGGGCGGGGGGAGGACCCCCTCGTTACCTTGATAGGCAGAGAGAAGAGATAGATCTCCTCTAGGGACTTGATCTTCATGTCCTTGACCAGGCGTCCCAGCTTGGTGACGGGGATCCACTGGAGGGGGAAAAGGCGCCGATAACTACGGTCGCCCGATCGGCGCCGCCCACGGGCCCGTCTCACGCGCAAGGGCCCGAACCTACCTCCTTGTCCTCGGCCTTGCCTCCGCGAGCTCCACGGCCTCGACCCCGGCCCCGACCACGGCCGCGACCGCGGCCCCGGATGCCGCTGCCGAAGCCTCCGCGAAAGCCGCCGCGGCCTCCCATTCCAGGGCCCCCGGGCCCTCCGGGCCCTCCCGCAGCACCGGCGTCATCCGCCATTTGCTGAAAAGAACATCGAGAATGGACCAGTCAGCGAGGCCCTGGCACCTGCGGCCGCCCGGGGCCAGGGCTCCCGCCCAGAAGCGCCAACGCGCCGGACCGAGCCTCGCCAGATGGCCGCGGATCCCTGGCGCCCGGGCCCGCGCACGCACCAACCACCACGGAAACTCACGTGTTCTCTCGGAGAAGAAGACAGAGGCCGCGCGGAGGGAGTATTTATACCACGGCCAAGTGCCGCGAGATCTCGGCTGCCCCGCCCCAGGCGCGAGTTCGCCACGGGCCTATAAGAACCGTGGAAGCGCACTTCCGGGTTTCCCCGCGCTCCGCGTGCGACTGCGCGCGTGCGGCTCTGAGTGTGGGCGCCGCGGCGGCCCAGCTACCCGGTGCTGCTGGTAGGCCCGCGCCCCGCCGCGTCCCTGGATGGTAGCTGGGAGGTCGGCGTTGGTTGAAAATCACCCGCGGCTTTGGCCGTGGCCGCGGGTGAGATTCGGCGCCTACAGCCACCGGGGGCCTCAGCTCACCGCCCACTCGTCCGTGTGGGCAGGTGAAACCCAGGCCCCGACACGCGTCCCGCCGGCCCCGGCCCGCGTGTGTTCTGGCCTCTGGCCTCTGATCCCTGACCCCGTGTTCTGCCCGCAGGACGCCGACGCCCCGACCGTGAGGCCCACGCCGCCAGGACCGCGGGGAGAGGGGAGCTCTGCTCCCAACGCCCAGTGAAGTTGTCCGTGTGAGTCCTGCATGTCTGGGTGTTCCTGGCCCCCCACCCATCCGCCTGGAGGTGCATCTGTGGGCGCGGGGAGCAAGGTGTGCAGTGGAGGGGAGACCCTATGGGACACCTCTTGCCGGCCTGCCGGATTCCGCGTCGGATGCCACAGAGGGGTACAACTTGGGTCCCAGGGGCTGGCAGGTGACTCCTCCGTGGCATCCCGTGAGTGGCAGGGCCAGATTTGAAACCCTGGTGTATTTCACACACCAAATAGCTTCCACAGTAGCAGATAAAGTACCTTTGAGCTGGGTCAGCAACCCACTAGCGAGTGTGACAATGAAGGGAAACATCCCTAAGGTGGAGTTGGAAGGCTAGAAGGGGGAGCTCTGCTGCTCAACATCAATTACAGACCCCAACAGGGAAGGATGTAGGGATTGATTATTCCTGCAACTCAGCCTGTGAGAAACTGTCATCACTCTGAACTCTTGCTTTTCTCCAGGGGACTTCGATCCCTCCCAACTTTCTTTCTCCATGAAATAAAGTTCCTTTCCTTTGTTTGTTGGGGGCTTGCTTGTAGTCTTTTTGCATGTCCTGAATTGCAGTTCTGGTTATTTCCAAATAAACACACTTTTGCCAGTGAAATAATGGACTCTTATTTTTAAAGTTAACCCAAGAATGAGAGTGTAAGATTCCCAGCTCAAGGGCTTGCATGGGCCCCATATTGCTCTCAGGAGGGGGATAGGGTCTGGGATAGGATTTGGTGACCTTGGTATTCGGTGCTACTGAACGTGCAGTTCTGTATTATGTGCCTCATGCGTGGGAACATTGCTGGTTTCCCAGGTGGAGACTGATTTCCCCATGTCTTCTCAGAGGCCTGCCCACATCGTCAGAGCCTACCTGTTCTGGAAAGCTTTCCCACATACTAGGCCCCCCACTATGGTGGTACCACAGGTTGCATGGGAATTTGGTCCTCACTTCCCTCCGATCTGTACTTTGGAGCTAGCGCCATGAGTCTTAGATCCTAGGAGACCTGATGGTGGGTCGATGTCAAAAGTCCCTGGGCTTTGGAGATCTGGCCTGGGCAGCACTATTTTGAGGAGGGAAAAGGGAATGATTCCTACATTCCTGCCAAAGCCTCAGCTTTGGGGAAAGAGTCCTCAGAAGTTTAGTTCCCAGCCTGGTGCTGCTTGGGGATCAGCTATCACCCACTCCCAAGACGGGGGCTTCAGGGACCTGCCCCAGGTCCAGACTACCTATCCCTCAACTCTGAGCAAGGGCCAGATGGTACAGGATCCCAGTGGGCCCTGAGCCAGGGCTGTGATTGGCCTGAGCTGGACAATGCCACTGTGAGGTCGGTCCACTCCTACTGTGAAATGGAGGCTCCTGAGCCCTGGGGGTCAGTGGAGCTGCTGTCCAGACACAGATCATGGTGAGCCTGGGACCCTTTTGCCTCTGGCCCTTAAATGTGTTCCTAAATCGAGACCTGTCCAGAGCTGGAACCCATTCCTCACTCTGAGAAAGGGTGAACAGTGGGTTACAGGCTCCCCAAGACAAGGAAACCAACCTTTGCAAGGGTTCTGGCCACGTCTAACTCCAGACCAAGGCCAGCTTCTCCAGCTGGGGACTGGTAGTCTTGGAAGGCCTTGACCCTCACAGCTGCCCCCTCAAAGTGGGTCCTGACCCAACCCTCCACTTGGGGGGCCCACCTCCCCATCCTGGGGTTTCCCTGGGGTATGTAGCTGGAACCTGGTCCAGCCAGGCACTGATTTTGGCCTGGCCCTTACAGAGTGGCGGATATGATCTCAACCTCTTCGCCAGCCCTCCCGACTGCAACTTCCTGTGCTCCGTGTGCCACGGGGTTCTCAAGAGGCCAGTGAGGTTGCCATGCAGCCATATCTTCTGCAAGAAATGCATCCTCCGGTGGCTAGCCAGGTGCTAGTGGGCACCCAAGAGGCTGGGAGGACAAGGGCAGGGCTGTGTCCATCCCTGTGGCCCAGAACAGAGGAAGGTGGGCCAAGCATTAGGTCACAGTGGGCATAAGAGCTTCCAAATCTAGGACACTAAAGTACGTGTGTCCCCGCACCCTGGGGTACTTACAGCCCATGGCCCCAACCTCAGAGCTGAGTTCCCCAGGAAGTACTCAGGCCTCTTCCAGCTTGAGAGAAGGCGTGTTGCTGTCTCTTGGTCCCTTTCCACTCCCAACACTCCCCACCCCCCTCCTCCTGCCTCCTAGACAGAAGACCTGTCCATGCTGCAGGAAAGAGGTGAAATGGAAAAAGATGGTCCATGTAAATAAACTCCGGAGGACCATCGGCCGCCTGGAAGTCAAGGTAGCTTGAAGCACCCACTCCCAGCGCCCTTCTCGCTCCTGCCAGGGGAGGGACAGAACCAGGAGAGGGGGTAAGGAGAATCCTATCCTCAGAAAGAACTGAGGGTTTCTGCTCCAGCAACACTGACTGCAGCCTCAGGGTCATCAGTCCTGCCTGAGTTTGAGTCCCATCTCTACCACTTACTTGCTGTGTGACTTTGGGCAAGTTACCTAACCTTTTTGAGCCCCTGGGGCCTCAGCTGTAAAATGGGGATTATACAAGATTTTTAGAGGATGAAGTGTCTGCTGTGCTGGCCACCACCCCAGTCCCTTAATTTTATAGATGAGGAAACTGAGGTTTAAAAAAAAACAGACAAACTTGGCTTGTGTACAACTGCAAGATCAACCCAGCCATGTACCTCCCCCCACCCCCCATCCCTCAAGCCTTTGGCCCTGTGCACCTGGTCTCAGAGGTCTAGATTCTTCCCCCTCCATATCATTGATGCCATTAGGGCTTGGCAGACTCCCAGATTAGGAACATCCCGGATGGGGGATTCTGGGTAAAGTAGGCTGCTCCAGTGCTGGCCACGTCTGACCTGGTTTGGCTCACATGGTGCTCTCCCCCAACCCCCAGTGCAAGAACGCGGAAGCTGGCTGCTTGGTGACGTGCCCCCTGGCCCATCGAAGGGGGCACCAGGACTCATGCCCTTTCGAGCTGATGGCCTGCCCCAATGAGGGCTGCACGGCACGGGTGCCACGTGGGTCCCTGGCTGAGCACTGGCAGCACTGCCAACGTGGGGCCCAGCAGCGCTGCCCACTGGGCTGTGGGGCCGCCCTGGGCCCAGTGGAGCGTGCACGCCACAACTGCTACCGTGAGCTGCGCGACGCCTGGACCCAGCGTCAGGAGCGCAGCCGGACCCTGGTGCTGGGCCTGCTGCGGCGCATGCGCAAAGTGCACCGCACCACCAATCTCATCCGCAGGCAGCTGGCCCAGCTCGGAGACTTCCTGGAGGAGGACGACGCGCTGCTCGTGGGCGCCCCGCAAGGGGAGTCCGAGGCCACCCCAGAAGGCAGCATTGGGGCCGAGGTGTGGGGAGCCCAGGGCCACGGTACCTTGTAAACAGAGGGGTAAATAAACGCAGAGCCCAGGCCTGGCCCGCCCTGCCACTTCTGTGCTTGCCGGCCTCACAGCTTTATCCCATTTGCCACCCCCACCCCCGCCCCGCCCCAGGCACTACTGCCTTCACCACGCAGGGACACTGGCCTTTCTCCCTGGGCCGCTCCTGCCTGGAAGGCTCTTCTCCCTGCTCTCCGTTTGCCTGGTTTCTTTTCCCTCAGATACCTCTTCCTCGCAGAGGTTATCCCTGAAACCCTCCCAGTCTCCTTCCTGTTACTTCTACCTGTCTGTTAACCAACTTCCCAGCCAGTCACACAAACAGCTCAAAACCCTGAATTCCTAGGAAAAGCCCACGCCTCACAATGACTCACAGGGAACTGCCATTATCTCTGACCTCCTGCCCCTATCGTCTCAGTACTCCCTGTAGCCACAAGCACTGTCCCCCCAAACAGCCACAGGGATCCCCGCTTTACTCACTCAGGCGACACCTTACCTCCCCCACCACCCCATTTAAAAGCCCGTTACCCTGATCTGTTCTTTCTACAGCACTAATCGCTGAACGCTCCCGATTATTCCTTGCCCGTCCTCCGCCAGCCCTCTCTCCTCTAGCACCTCCTGCTCTTGTGCCTCCCAAATGTCTACAACAGTGCTTTGCACATAGAATGTGATCAATAAATATTTGAGAGTCTCTGAAGTTACCCTATTTATTCATTTACCTGCGATATATATCACACCAGACCATGAGCACCTGACTGCGCTTGTACCCAAATCCCAGAAGGCCGAGGGGCAAGGGTCTCGGGATGACTTTAGTAAACATTTCCTACGACTCCTTTTTTAAAATTTTCACTAAAAGGCAAACAGCGGGCAAACCCCGTGCCCTGCAGTCCTCCGCCCCAGAAGCCCCAGCCGCCTCCAGGCGGCTCTACACCGGTTCCTCCAGGCCAGAAACGCCTCCACCAGTTTCCGGTTCCTGCCACAGCAGGCACTGCCCACAGCAAAGATGGTGCCGAGCGCGCAACTGATGGCGTCACAGTAGTCGTGGGCGGTGACGCCATCTGCGGCGCGCCGGCAGTGAGAAGTGGCGCCTCTGTTTCCCTCACGCGGCCGCGGAGGCGGCGGCGGCGACATGGCGGAGCCCGTGGCGGGAGTGGGCCGCTTCAAGGCCAAGTGAGCTGGGGCGCTACGGCTGTGGGTGCCACCCAGGGAGGGAGCGGGGTTCGCAGCCCCAGTGGCAAATGTGCCCGCCCTGAACCGGGCGCCCATTCGGGTCTGGGCAGAGCCTGAGGGCGGTGTACGAACTGGCCCGCGGGAGTCGTGTTGGTTGCGTTATTACAAAGTGAGAGAGCTAGCGTCGGTTATTAAATTAGGAGCTGGTTTGGGGGTTGTGGGTGAAAAATTCTAAAGGAGGAAGGAGCGGGCTGAGCGCAGGTGGAGGCTGGTCCTGAACCACAGCGGGAGGCCCCCACCCTCAGGTACTGGGAGAAGAACCACTTCTGGGCAGGCAGCCCGGGGGCTTTCACCTCCTGTCCCTCTTCGACATGGAGCAGGAAGAGAGGTCAGGAGATGGGCGGTCTGCTGTGGCCCCGGAGACCCTGAATCCTGGGCTGATTCAGTTCCCCAAGGACTCTGGTGAACATCTAAGTGCTTAGGGCCCAGGACGGGATGAACTCCTCCCTGCCGGTGAGCTCGGTCTCATGGGATAAGCATACTAAGCAGCTCATTTTCATCAGTGGGAGTGATGAGCAATACCAAAGGGAAGGCCTGGGGTCAAGAGCGTCTCTGTGGCATAGTCACCAGGGCTCCACGGTTGGGGGCTCCATTTCATGTTGGTAGCCAAGCCTCCCCTAGTGGAGTTAGGCACCAGTGAAATCCGGGAAGAGAGACCCAAGCCACATACGGGGAATAGCCTGTGTGACACAAAAGGATAGCAGAGGCTCCTCCAAGTCAGGGTCTTAGAAACACATAAGGAGAGGGGAGGGTTTTAAGACAGGGTAAAACACTTAGGTTTGGAAAGGTCTTTCTGGCAGCAGGGTTTGAGATGGTAGAGAGGGGGCCTGGTGAAGAGGCTGGAGCGGCTGTCCAGATGAGCGTGTGGTGGCCTGGACCACCGCGGAGGCAGCCGAGAGGGGAGGGACGAGGACAGCATGAGGCTGCAGAAATGAGGGCTACTTGGGGAGTGGGAGGAAAGAGCTAGGGTTGAGGAGGGGGCAGGCTGCAGCTGAAAAGGCAGCTGTTGAGGGGGTGTTGCTCTGGGCTGGTACCCTGGGCTGGCACCCTGGGCTGGCCTCCCGCCGCCAGCAGAGGGCCCCTGAGGTCTGGCCTACTCCACTCTGGGGGAATCTGGGAAGACAGGGGTGTCACACTGCTGGTTCTGCCTCAGAACCTGGTGTGCATCACTGCCCAGTTCTGGGTCTTGCATCCTCTGTGACACCCACCTCACAGTGCTGCAGAGAGAGGACAGTGAGAAGAGCCATCTCCAACCTCCTGCATCCCCGCCTCTGCCTGGGAACTCCTCAAGGCAGGGGCCTTTTGGATTAAGCTCTGGGAGAGCACCCAGCACAGAGCTGGGCACTGGGGACCAAGGGGTGGGTGACTCACTCTCTCCCCCTGTTCTCTCTCTAGCTATGCTGTGGAGCGCAAGATCGAGCCTTTCTACAAGGGCGGGAAGGTGCAGGTACCAGCCCAGGGAGGGGCAGAGTGGTGGGGCAGGCAGGGGCTGCACAGAGTTATCTTGGCTGAGACCCTTCTGTCACCAGCTGGACCAGACTGGGCAGCATCTCTTCTGCATTTGTGGTACCAAAGTCAACATCTTGGATGTGGCCTCAGGGGCCGTGCTGCGGAGCCTGGAGCAGGTGAGGGTGGGGAGAGCCAGGGCAAGGGGCTAGTGTGGAGGGCAGTCTGTTCTCATGGTGCTCTGTGTGCTAACTCTCACCTCTAGGAGGACCAGGAGGACATCACTGCCTTTGATCTCAGCCCTGACAACGAGGTATACAGGGCAGGGATAGGAGGCGGGCTTCAGTGCCTCTCAGCCAAACTTTGAGCCATTGAGGACATGTGGCCGTGCCTCTCCCCTCCCAGCTGAACTGCATCGTTCTCTAGGTGCTGGTAACAGCCAGCCGGGCACTGCTTCTGGCTCAGTGGGCCTGGCGAGAGGGCAATATCACCCGCCTGTGGAAGGCGATACACACAGCCCCTGTGGCCACCATGGCGTTTGACCCCACTTCCACACTGCTAGCCACAGGTAGGGCCCTGGCTGGGTGGCTGGGCCCCCGGAGGGCACACAGTCAGGGGTCTTCAGGCACACCAGCCCCTTCACCTTGAACACGTTCCCACAGGCGGCTGTGACGGGGCAGTTCGTGTCTGGGACATTGTGCGGCACTATGGGACACACCACTTTCGGGGCTCGCCAGGGGTTGTACAGTGAGTAGAGGGCAGCAGAGGGTGGACAGGGCCTTATGCCCAGGGGCGCACAACTCACCTGCCGCCTCCCCCACCACCCACAGCTTGGTGGCCTTCCACCCGGACCCCGCACGCCTACTGCTCTTCTCCTCAGCTGCAGACGCCACCATCCGCGCGTGGTCGCTGCAGGACCAGTCGTGCCTGGCCGTGATGACTGCCCACTACAGTGCCGTCACCTCACTGACCTTTAGCACTGATGGCCACACCATGCTTAGGTCAGCGGCCAGCCACCCAGGCCATGGCAGGAAGGGGAGGGCCGCAGCTGAGGCCGAGGACTGAGGTGGCTGTCCCCCCCGCCCCCCAGCTCAGGCCGCGACAAGATCTGTGTCGTCTGGGATGTGCGGAGCCACCAGGCTACGAGGACGGTGCCAGTGTTTGAGGTGGGGATGCCAGGGGGCCGGGCCAGTCGAGGGGGCAGGGGGAGGGTGGGTTGCTGCCTCTGACCCGCTTACCCTCAGAGTGTGGAGGCGGCCGTGCTGCTGCCAGAGGAGCCAGCACCTGGGCTGGGTGTGAAGTCCAAGGGCCTACACTTCCTGACAGCTGGAGACCAAGGTATGTGTGTCCAGGCCAGGGTGGGCAGCAGAGGCTGGGGGAGGTCCGTGCACTAGAGTGCCAGCAGCCCGCGTCCCCTCACAGGCCTGCTGCGCGTGTGGGAGGCAGCCTCTGGGCAGTGCGTGTGTATACAACGGCGGCTGCCAGGCCCTGGGCAGGAGCTGACCCACTGTGCTCTGGCCCACCGTGCCGGCCTGCTCCTCGCTGTCACTGCCGACCATAACCTGCTGCTCTACGAGGCCCACTCCCTGCGGCTGCAGAAACAGGTGAGCGCTGCCCCTGCTCAGCCCGGAGGTGGGGCTGCCAGCTCTCCACTCATGCAGGCTCTGGCTTGTGTCTCTCCGGCCCCCGCCCCCACAGTTTGCCGGCTACAGCGAGGAGGTGTTGGACGTCCGGTTTCTTGGGCCCGAGGACTCCCACATTGTCGTGGCCTCCAACAGCCCCAGCCTGAAAGTGTTTGAGCTGCAGACAATGGCCTGCCAGATTCTCCACAGCCACACAGGTCAGGGAGCTGAGCTGATGCCCCCAGCACTCTATCCTGGACTAGAATGCCCTCCTTTACTGTAACTGATGGCCATTTTCTCTCTACTTTCTCCCAGACATTGTCCTGGCCCTGGACGTGTTCCGGAAGGGGTGGCTCTTTGCCAGCTGTGCCAAGGTGAGACATCTGGAGCGGTGTGGAGGTATGGGTCCCAGTGGAGGAAGCCCAGCCCCGCCTCTGTCCTCACCCGTTTGATTCCCAGGATCAGAGCATCTGTATCTGGAGGATGAACAAGGCTGGCAAGGTGGCCTGTGTGGCTCAGGGCTCCGGGCACACACACAGCGTGGGAACCATCTGCTGCTCTAGGTAGGGGGTCAGGGCTGGGGTCCGTGGTGTTACAGAGGCCCAGACCCTGCTAATGGGGTTCCAGCTCAGGGAGATGTGGAGGGGGAGGTTTCGGCCTTGGTCTTTAAGGCTCCAGGCTAGGGATGTGTAACAGAATGCCAGGGCTACCCAGCTGCTCTCTTGGTAGGGGCTCCTCAGAACGGTTCTTGGGGCTGGGGGAATTAAAGGGGAGAGGCTTGGGGTGCCTGGGTGGCTTAGTCAGTTAAATGTCTGCCTTTGGCTCAGGTGTGATCCCAGGGTCCTGGGATCAAGCCCTGTGTCAGGCTCCTTGCTCAGCGGGAAGTCTGCTTCTCCCTCTCCCTCTGCCCCTCCCCGCTGCTCTGCTCGTGCTTTTTCTCCCTGTATCTCAAATAAAAAAAAAAGGCTGGGGGGAGAGGCTTCAGGGCAGAAAGAATGACATTGAACAAAGCTCAGGCAGAAAAGACATTCCCTGGGGCGCCTGGGTGGCTCAGTCGTTGAGCGTCTGCCTTCGGCTCAGGTCATGATCTCAGGATCCTGGGATCGAGCCCCGCATCGGGCTCCCTGATGGTCGGGAAGCCTGCTTCTCCCTCTCCCACGCCCTCTGCTTGTGTTCCCTCTCTCGCTGTGTCTCCCTCTGTCAAATAAGTAAATAAATTTAAAAAAAAAAAAGAAAAGACATTCCCTGCTAGGGGGGTTGAGGTCTTGTTACCAAGTCACCAGGTATGGTGGACCAAGGGCGGGTGGTGGGGGCTCGAGTAGACAGGTGCACCCTGCCCCTCCTTGGTCGGGACCATGGTCCTGCAGGCCCAGGCTGTGATGCCCTGGCAGACAGGGCTGGCCGGGGCTCAGCAGGGGTCTCCCCTCCCCCACATCTGGCCTCAGGCTGAAGGAGACGTTCCTGGTGACGGGCAGCCAGGACTGCACTGTGAAGGTGTGGCCCGTCCCTGAAGCCCTGCTCTCCAAGGGTGCAGCCCCAGACGGCAGTCCTGTCCTTCTCCAGGCTCAGGCCACACAGCGCTGCCATGACAAGGTGATGGGACACGGGGGCAGGGGCAGGGCCAGGGCCCTTGCTGGGATGGGGTTCTGAGCTGCCCCCTACTCTCATCACCAGGACATCAACAGTGTGGCTGTCGCCCCCAACGACAAGCTGCTGGCCACAGGCTCACAGGACCGCACAGCCAAGCTCTGGGCTTTGCCGCAGTGCCAGCTGCTGGGTGTCTTCTCGGGCCACCGGCGCGGCCTCTGGTGCGTCCAGTTCTCACCCACGGACCAGGTGCTGGCCACAGCCTCGGCTGACGGTACGGTCAAGCTCTGGGCGCTGCAGGACTTCAGCTGCCTCAAGGTGAGCGCCCGCCTCAGGTCCCTCATCCCCAGGCCCTGCCCGCCGCCCTGGGGTGGTCTCACGTTCTCCCCTCCCCATCCTGCAGACGTTCGAGGGGCATGATGCTTCCGTGCTGAAGGTGGCCTTTGTGAGCCGTGGTACCCAGCTGCTGTCCAGGTGAGTGGGCTGGGGATAGGGGTTGGGATGAGCTGCAGGATGGGCCCTAGCACTGAACTCCTCCCGATCCCAAACCCAGTGGCTCTGATGGTCTCGTGAAGCTCTGGACCATCAAAAACAACGAGTGTGTAAAGACTCTGGACGCCCACGAGGACAAGGTCTGGGGGCTGCACTGTAGCCGGCTGGACGATCACGCCCTCACCGGTGCTGGTGACTCCTGCGTCATCCTCTGGAAGGTATGGAGGTTTGGGGGGTCATGGGGACTGTGCAGGGCTGCATCAGGGTGCCCATCTGACCTCGCTCTGACCCTAGGATGTGACCGAGGTGGAGCAGGCAGAAGAGCAGGCCAAGCGGGAGGAGGAGGTGGTCAAGTAAGTCTGGGGGTCCCTGCCCAGTCCCCTTGAGTGCCACGCATATGTCTACCATCCCATACGTCACACCCTTGGAGTGGGGACATACAGCTGTCACGTCTGCTTTATGGCATGGAAAACTGAGGCTAGGAGTGCAACACATCTCACCACCAGTGGATGCTTAGGGCCAGGCTGTGGACTCCTGGGCCAGCCCCCTGATGGCTCTGCCTTCAGTCCCAGCCAGGTCCCCCAGTGACCCTGTCCTCCCTCCTTCCCCCACCAGGCAGCAAGAACTGGAAAACCTGCTCCATGAGAAACGGTACCTGCGGGCACTGGGCTTGGCCATCTCCCTGGACCGACCCCACACTGTGCTGACTGTCATCCAAGGTCAGTGCTGCCTTGGGCCGTGGAGGGGGGGCGGGGGTCTTGGGTCCATCTTGTGCCCTTCCCTGGGGCTCAGTCTCCCCACCCCCCCCACCCCCCAGCCATCCGGAGGGACCCTGAGGCCTGCGAGAAGCTGGGAGCAACGGTGCTGCGGCTGCGGCGAGATCAGAAAGGTCAGGGGCAGGTGGGCAGGCGGGGCAATGGCCAGGCAGGGCAGCCAGTGGGCAGGTCTGACTGTCCTTGTCCCCCCAGAGGCCTTGCTGCGCTTCTGTGTCACGTGGAACACCAACTCGAGGCACTGTCACGACGCACAGGCTGTGCTGGGGGTGCTCCTGCGGCACGAGGCCCCGGAAGAGCTCCTGGCCTATCCTGGCGTGCAGACCTCCCTCGAGGCCCTACTGCCCTACACTGGTATATGGGCCGGCCCTGGGCGGGGCGGGAGCTGCTGGCCAGCCCCCACGAAGCCCCTGACGTCCCTGTGTCCTCCCCCAGAGCGACATTTTCAGCGGCTCAGCCGGACACTGCAGGCAGCCACCTTCCTGGACTTCTTGTGGCACAACATGAAGCTGCCCGCCCTCCCTGCGGCCCCCTCTGTGGCTCCCTCAGCTCTCTGAAACATGCCGAAGGCTGTCCTTTTCTATCCAGACTCCCCATGTGTGGACTGTCTCTCACTCCAGGTCCCCAGCCCCCAGCCCTAACCTGCCCCACGGGTGCCCCGGCCTGGCCAAGACCCAGAGGCCCTGCTTCTCAGCACAGACACTGGGTTGTGCCTCAGTCAGAAGAGCTTTACTCTGGAAATGGGAGAGTATAGTTTCCTGGCCCTGCCGGCCACGGGGTCCCACCCTCAAATACTCCTCCCCCAGCCGTGGTGGTGGTGGTGGTGGCGGCATGGCTGGTGTCAGTCATCCCTGGGGTCTGGGGCTTTGGGCCTGCCCTCTGTGCAGCTCCACACGCCCTCGCGGGGGTCCTTGCGTGCCAGTGCCCTGCGGGTTATGGTGCAGCAGCGGCTCTGGATGGCACTCAACAGAGGGCGGGTGGGCACGGTAGGGGGAGGGGTTGTGGCCTGGGGGTTCTCTGGGGAGCCTTGGGCCTCTCCCACCCTGTCCTCCTCACGGTCCTCCTCGCGGTGGAGCCCTGCGCCACTCAGGAGCGCGCCCAGCCCGTCGGGTCGCAGCAGCACAGCGGGGAGGAGACCGCAGCGCCCTCCGAACCTGCGAGGGGGCGGGGAGGAGGGTGGGGTTTGGCGGTCGCTGGATCCTCCCCCCATCCTGGGCCCCGCCCAAGCTCCACCCCCGCGCACCTGCAGAGCCACCAGCCACGATCCGAAGTTTCCAGCACGCGCACGCGCGCCCCCGCAGGCACTGACAGTTCATCTGCGTGGCTGCTTTCATAGGCTTGAAAAGCGCAGAATTGAGACCCTGGGAGTGGGTATTTGGGGGTCACTGCGAGGCCTCAGGGACCAGGACTCCCAGCTCTATTTCCTCCGCCCATGGAGTCACCACCTTCAGGCATCCCCCAGATGATGGGACCAAGGACACTGTGTCCCCATGTCCAGCGCTCGCTCAGCTGTTTCCTGTAGCCAGCTTTGCCGCACACTGCCCAGTGGTGGTGGCTGGCTTGGCGGGGGTGGGATGGGTAATTACCACTACTCCCTAGGGGTCGTCGTTCTTGGCCGGGGGCCGCTTCCTCCAGGTAGGGAGCAGGAAACCACGCTGTCTGCTGGTCTTCGTTTGCCACCAGCCACCAGCCTGTGCGCAAGAGGTGGCCGGAGGTTCAGACCCCCCAAGCCCTCTTGGGTCCTGGGGGCAAATGGGCGAGCTCTCTCAGTCCTGTCCAGCCCCACCTGAGGGATGTCGCAGCAGCACGTCTAGGATCTCCTGGGCCCGTGCATGGAAAGGTCGGCCCTGCGTGTCCTGGGTGCTGAAGGGCTGCAGGCAGCGCAGGCTCTGAGCCTCCAGGCCACGGATGGCAAGGCTGTCTGCCGGGCGGGGTAGGGGCTCTTCAGGAGCGGGCAGGATCACCAGACTGGGAAGGGTACAGGCGAGGGGCGGGTGGGAAGTGTGGTGAGGACCTGCCACCCTTCCCCAGTCCGCCCAGCCTTCGCTCCTCCCCCAGCCTCCAAGGGCTTTTGCGGGCAGGGAGTTGGGGCACCTGCCGGGTGGCAGCGCGGGCTCCAGGTCCAGGGGTTGCGGTGCAAAGAAGCCGGTGAGCGCTGGGCTCCGAGACACGCGCGCCGCCGCAGCCAGCAGAGCCCGCGAATAGGTCTCCAGCAGCCGCAGGCGCGCCAGGCCGCGGCCCGTGCGCCCCCCGCGTACCAACAGCGAAGCGTCTGCGGACACGACGGGAACGGACTGTGGGACCCCGCCCCAGGGTTCCCTCCACCAGGCCGCTGGTGCCCCTGCCCCTCCCGGGATCCTTGCGGGCCTCCCTAACGGCCTCACCGGGAAGCTTGGGGAGAACGCGGTCAGATCTCCGCAGCAGGCCCGCCTCTACTGGGAAGGTTTCCTTGAGGGTCTTCTAAGGGAGAACCAGCGAATCAGTCTCAGAGTCCACCGGTTCCGTTGGGAGGGTGAGGGTTCCTTGCCGGGATGGGGGTCGTAGGGGCTAGACGCCCTCACGGGCTCAAGAGCAAATGCCCAGGTGCGGGCCATTGGTCCCTCCGGCAGCGGGGGCAGTCGGGTTCGCCCCAGGCTCACTCACCTGGAGCGTCTTGAATTCATCCCAGCTCCTGCGCACGAAAGTGTCGCTGTCATCCGACCAGTGCACAGAGAAGGCAAATGTCTGTTGGAGAAAGGTTGGGGCGCCTTGGAGGTGCTGGGCCAGGAATTCCTTCTTCCTTGGGGCTGGCAGGGACTCCGCCCGTCATACCTGAAGCCGCGCTGTCTGCACTAGGGCCGCTGCGCACACTGACACCGGGTACCGGGGGCCGTCCATTGCTGTGCCTCACGGGTTCCGGTTCTGGGCTTCTGGAGCTGGCAAACTGTGGCCAAGGGTCCCACTGCGTCCTGGCTCACACGGTGGGGGGTGAAGGCAGGGGGCTCCAGGCACCCGGAAGACTGATTGGAATTCCCCGGCTGCGCCCCAGACCTGGCAGGTCCTTGTATCGCTGCCTTGCTCCTGGGTCTTTCCCAGCTTCCTCACTGTGCCCAGAGTAGATCCGGGTAGAGGGACAGGACAGGGCTTGGGGGGGGAGGGGCAGAGAGGCGGTGGAGGGTGGGGACTGCGGCCTGAGTCCCTCAGGCATGAGTCTGGCCTGTGGGAGGAGGAGGTAAAGGAAGAGTCCTCAAAGTGCCGCCAGGCTCGGCCCGGCTCTCCTGGCTCTCCCACACCCGGTGTGGTGCTGGGACTAGTGGAGCCTCCTCCAGGGCATGCCCCCATGGCTCTGTCTTCGAACTCACCTTGGAAGCTGACTGCTGTTGTCATCAGGAACCAAGGACCCAGTGCTAAAAGCTTTATGTACTTTGTTTGGCTCACATTGGAGGAAAGGTCTCTTAATGTTTCCAAATCACAGAGGAGGAAATTTGTATTAAATAGATAATTAATGTCAGTTTTTCTGGATGTGGGCGTTGACCTCACAGGCTCACCCCAGAGGTTCCCCTGTGGTGGGGGGACTTGGGGCAGAACAAAGAGGGTCCCTCTCTGCAGTCACTGGCACTTGGGGAGGGGGTTGGTGACTAGGACTGTTTTGAGAGCTGCCTCTAAATTTATGATTTATCACAATTTACTGCAAACACAGCCTGAGATCAGAAGTCACAATTCCCCCACTAACTGGGGTGAAGAGGGGTTGGACCCTAGAATCCCCAGAGAGCGTATGCTCAGGTGCCCCACATGTCTGGGCTGCTTCCTTATAGGAAAGACTTCCAGAGCTCCATCCAACCCTGGTATATTTTGGCTCTTCGTGCTGCTGGGGCCACCAGCTCTAGGTTGGGACTCCTACCCTAAGCTGTCCAGGGAGGGGTTAGCCTCTAGGACATCCCTCCCGGAAATCACCCTAGCCTTGACAAAGGGCCTTTGTGCACCTGTCCAACCAGCGGCTCTCAAACCTTCCCTGGTCTTGGCCCAAGCAACAAACACCTGCTGACATAGGCCTGAATTGCAGCGTGCTTTCAGCCCAGCTGTCACGCTCTCCCCGACCTCAGTGGCCTGGCCTGGCCTGGCAGGGTCCAGGGTGGGGCAGACACTTCTCCCCTGGAAGACCAGGAGAAAAGCTGGGAGAGGGCCTGTTTATTCACAGCCAGGGACCTCCTAAAGGGTGCTGATGCCCCCTCCCTGCCCCAACTGACAGCCCCTGCTTCACACCCCCAGCAACCCTGGTTGCTTTTCATTCTCTCTCTCTCCATAGACCACAGGCTCATCTATCCCTCGGACAACTGCCCACCCCCCCCCCCCCCACCCTGCGCCCGTACTCCTCACTAGCTCCTATGAAATCCACCCTCCAGAGAAATCTTTGCAAAACACAAAGGGGATCAGGTTGGGGTGGACCTGCCCCAAATTGTCCAGCACCTTCCTATGGTTCTTAAATTCCCAGCTCCCATGGCAGCTCCATGTGCTCCTGCCCACCTTTGGACCTCTCCTCTCACCACCTTCCCCAAGTCCTGTTCCACTGGCCTTTCTGCCCATGCCCACCTCCAGCCGTGGCCTTGACTGCCCTCCTCAGCTGATTCCTCATCCTTCAGGCCTCTGCCTAAGTGTCACCTCCTCAAGGAAGCCTCCCGGATTTACCACACCCCTGTTCATGGTTCCCACCCATTTGTCAGGGAATATTTGTTAGTGTGACTCCTTTTTTGTTTTGTTTTTGCTTTTTCCGTCTTGACCAATGGACAATGAGCCCAGAGAGGAGGTCAGGGACGGATCTTGTGCCCCGCCCTGCCCAGCGCCTGGACCAGTACTTGGAACAGATTAGACACTACACAAATATTTGCAGGATGAATGAAATGTACGTAGAGAAGCTGCGGCCACTCCCGACGTGGCTATAACCCCTTCAGGCAGGCTATAGGGATCCAGGCTACTCCTTGCCCTCAGGAGCCCAGAGACCCGCCGGCGCCCGTTGCCATGGTGCCGGTCGCCCGGGCGGACCCGCGGGACCCAGGCCCTAGCGCGCGCCCCACTCTGTGCGCTCACCGCGCCACCCCGCGTTGCCAGGGCGCCGTGCGGCCGGCCGCTGGGCGCGCCCCAGCTGAGGGCACAGAGCCTGGCCGCGGGCACGCGGGGCGGTCAGAGCGGAGCGATGGGGGCGTCACGGGCCGGAACACGGACTTCGCCTCCGCCGCAGCCTGAGTCCACGGCGCGGCCGCGGCGTGGTTTCCACAATACGCTGCTCTTCTACTGGAGGAAGCGGGAGCGCAGCCACGTGCGACGCAAGTCAGGCTCGGGACGCGGATCGAGGCTCAGGGGCGCGGCCAGGACCCGGGCGGCCAGGACCCGGGCTTCCAGCCCCGCGCC